GATTTCTTACCAAACATTGACCAATAGGAATAATGGAGTTGCTGGTCATGTCTTTTTTAAGTTCCTGTTGAACTTTATTATTGAAGGTTAACTTGTTGCAATTTCCCCATTGTTTTTTGTACTGATACTATTATTTCAGCTACAAATATTGTTACTATTACAGTGGACCCCCAGTTTACGATCACCTCCCAATGCGACCCATTATGTAAGTGTATTTATGTAAGTGCGTTTGTACGTGTATGTTTGGGGGTCTGAAATGGACTAATGTACTTCACAATATTCCTTATGGGAACAAATTCGGTCAGTACTGGCACCTGAACATACTTCTGGAGAGAAACATCGTAAACCGGGGGTCCACTGTACTACTGTTAAGCTTATTTAGGTAGGCACAAGTTGTTACATTTACATAGTTTTGTATTAATGTTGGTAGAATTACCCACAATATGTTAGGTAAAAGGACACAAGTGCAACTGATGTGACATTTTATTGTGGCAACGTTTCACTCTCCAGGAGCTTTATCAAGCTGTGTGTGTACGGCTTGACCAAGTTCCTTGAGAGTGAAACGTTGCCACAATAGTTAGTTTTGTAGAGTCAGGGTGCACCCACAGGCTGGGTATGGGGTGCACCCACAGGCTGGGTATGGGGTGCACTCACAGGCTGGGTATGGGGTGCATCTGCTATATGTGTTCATAATGCATATAGCACATTCTCCAGTTGTGTTCTTAACCTTCCTAAAACATATAAAACTATTTAAAATATAATGATGAAAATCAACAATGGAGAAGCAATTCCAGACGATCTTTTAGTTTCTCTTGGACGAGTATCAAGTCAGACCAAGGGTCAAAAAGTATAATAGACCACAAGACGGGTCGTAAAAACCATGGATGGTGGGGGGGAGGGGTGAAATTACCAAGAACGTCAGTCGACCAAGTTTCAAAAAACAGTAGTAGTGGTATAGACAGCAGCAGCAGCAATAGTAGTAGTAATAATAACAATAGTAGTGATAAATGGTTTTAAACTGACAAGTTGAAGACTGAGACAATTATGCAACATATGGAAATCTTTATTGAAGAAAAGTTTTGCCACACAGTGGCTTCATCAGTCCAATACAAAGCAGAAAGGTGTAAGGAGAGGAGTAGTTTGAGGTAATCAGTCCCTCAGCCTAGAGTCGATGTGTTCAGTACATCTATCTTGTAGAAAGTACAGCATAGAGCTGTAGAAGTGGCTCATATACTGTAGTCAGGTAAGTGGAAGCAGGAGGCAGCGGGGTCATAGTGGGACCATCCAGTAGTGTAAGTAGGTGTTCGTCTGAAGGTTTAAAACCATTTATCACATCTGTCAGACACTGCAACATCATGGGATCTTGATTGTTATACAAGGAATTCTTCAACACTTGTCCAACCTTTGGACGTAGACCTACTTACACTATGACCCCGCCGCCTCCTGCTTCCACTCACTTGACCACAGTATATAAGCCACTTCTCCGTCCCTATGCTGTACTTTCTACAAGGGTGATGGACTGAACACATCGACTCCAGGCTAAGTGACTGATTACTTCAAACTCCTCTCTTTGCAATTTTCTCTGTATGGGACTGATGAAGTCACTGTGTGGCAAAACGTTTCTTCAATAAAGATTCCCATAAGTTGCACAAGTGTTTCAATCTTCAACAATAGTAGTATTGGAAGCACTGGTAAGATTTGCAGTAATACTAATGGTGGTAATGGTGTTAGTATTAGTATTAACAATAATAGAAGTGCTGGTAGTCAGTCTAACAGTAAGCCCTGGTAGGAGTGGAGGCAGTAGTAACATTAACATACCTGGTGGTAGGGTTCATACATCACAAGGCATCGTGACCCTTACAGCCAAGATTTCTTAGTTAAATGGACACAAATGCTACTAATGTGACATATTGTGGCACAAATATCTATGGTATTTGGCCTTAGGGATCTACTATAACTAATCACCTTAAACCATTAATAACCCAAAAAAATTCTGCTGTGTGTTGATCAATTCCTGCGCTAGACAACACCTCCACTCTTCGCAATAAAGCGAACAGAACCCTCGGCTTTATATCAAGAAGTATTAATAATAGGAGTCCTCAGGTTGTTCTTCAACTTTATATATCCTTGGTTAGGTCTCATCTAGACTATGCTGCACAGTTTTGGTCACCGTATTACGGAATGGATAAAAATACTCTGGAAAGCGTACAAAGGAGGATGACAAAGTTGTTCCCATGTATCAGAAACCTTCCCTATGAGGATAGACTGAGGCCCTAAATCTGCACTATGAGGATAGACTGAGGCCCTGAATCTGCACTATGAGGATGGACTGAGACCCTGAATCTGCACTCTATAGACAGGCGATGGAGCCGGGTCACCATATGGAGAAGACCCGGGCTGGAAGTACCGGCGAACCTCTAATGAATGAATGAATGACAGGCGATGAATTAGGGGGGATATGATTGAGGTGTATAAATGGAAAACAGGAATAAAGGGGATGTAAATAGCGTACTAAAAATATCTAGCCTAGACAGGACTCGCAGCAATGGTTTCAAGTTGGAAAAATTCAGATTCAGGAAGGATATAGGAAAGCACTGGTTTGTTAATAGAGTTGTGGATGAGTGAAACAAACTCCCGAGTACAGTTATAGAAGCTAAAACGTTGTGTAGTTTTAAAAAAAGGTTAGATAAATGCATGAGTGGGTGTGGGTGTTTGAGTTGGACCTGACTAGCTTGTGCTACTAGGTCAGATGCCGTGCTCCTTCCTTAAGTGAATGTGACCTGACTTAACTACGTTAGAGGATTGGCTTAAGCCGGTGGGAGACTTGGACCTGCCTCGCATGGGCCAGTAGGCCTGCTGCAGTGTTCCTTCTTGAACTTACTTAATATACAAAATATGCACTCTTATTGTACTTACTATATACACAGAACCTTTAACTCAAGTACAAACCCTCCTCTCAAACTACTACTTTCTAGAGAGTGCAGATTCAGGGACCTCAGTATCCTCATAGGGAAGATTTCTGATACATGAGATCAACTTTGACATACAAAAGAGGATGACAAAGTTGATCCCATGTATCAGAAATCTTCCCTATGAGGATAGACTGAGGTCTCTGAATCTGCACTCTCTAGAAAGGCTTAGAATTAGGGGGGATATGATCGAGGTGTATAAATGGAAAATAGGAATAAATAAAGGGGATGTAAATAACGTGCTGAAAATATCTAGCCTAGGCAGGACGCGCAGCAATGGTTTTAAGTTGGAAAAATTCAGATTCAGGAAGGATATAGGAAAGTACTGGTTTGGTAATAGAGTTGTGGATGAGTGGAACAAACTCCCGAGTACAGTTATTGAGGCTAAAACGTTGTGTAGTTTTAAAAATAGGTTAGATAAATACATGAGTGGGTGTGGGTGGGTGTGAGTTGGACCTGACTAGCTTGTGCTACTAGGTCAGTTGTCGTGTTCCTTCCTTAAGTGAATGAGACCTGATCTGACTAGGTTGGGGCATTGGCTTAAGCCAGTAGGAGACTTGGACCTGCCTCGCATGGGCCAGTAGGCCTGCTGCAGTGTTCCTTCCTTCTTATGTTCTTATGTACTTAATAGCTATAACAGAACACAAAGTTACAACACTCGCATCCCTCGTGTCCCTGTGGGAATTTATTCGGTCCCCAAAATTCCAGGGACCGGGTTCACTGTAGTTTCATCCACCATAACAAACACCAGATGACTGAGGCGGTGGGTTTGTTACTTGATAAATTTACCCTTTATGGAAGCTCTTAACCCTTAAATGGTACAAACGTATATAAACGTTTTTTCAACATCTGAAAGTAAGTAAAAAAATGTAGATCTTCTTTTTTGTTTTACATTTGAAAACGTGTAAAAAACTTTTATCTACTTTTTTTTTTTGTTATATTTGAAAATATGTAAAAAAAAAAGCAGATCTACTTTTGTAGCTACGAATTTGAACGTCGATCTGTTTGGACCGTTTAAGGTTAAGTAGGATTAAGCTGTTAGTAACTAATATTAGAATTAATAATGTAGCCTTAGACCTTGATATAGGTAGGCTTAGACCTTGATGTAGGCCTAGACCTTAATATAGGTAGCCTTAGACCTTGATATAGGCTTAGACCTTGATATAGGAAGGCATAGACCTTGATTTAGGCTTAGACCTTACCCATTCAAGGCTGGCAACATTGCAGACCTGGAGAATGTACAAAGAACTTTCACGGCACATAAGTACACTAAGGCACCTAAATTACTGGGAACGGTTGAAAAGTCCTTGATCTGTATTCCCTGGAACACAGGCGAGAGAGATGCATGATAATATACACTTGGAAGGTCCTGGAGGGATTGGTACCAAACTTGCACACGAAAATCACTCCCTATGACAGCAAAAGTCTCGGCAGGAGATGTAACATTCCCTCGATGAAAAGCAACCGCACCACCAGTACACTATGAGACAACACACTAAGTGTCTGGGGCCCAAGACTGTTCAGTTGCCTCCCAGCATACATAAGGGGGATTACCAATAGACCCCTGGCTGTCTTCAAGACCCCTGGCTGTCAACAAGACCCCTGACTGTCAACAAGACCCCTGGCTGTCTTCAAGAAGGCAATGGACAGGCACCTAAAGTTAGTACCTGACCAACTGGGCTGTGGTTAATACGTCAGGTTGTGTAACAGCCTGGGTGATCAGACCCTGATCCACCATGAAGCCTGGTCTCAGACCGAGCCACGGGGGCATTTACCCCCGGAACCCTGTCCAAGTAAACTCCAGGTACAGTGAACTATGAACCCCCAGCTTGAAGGGAGGCTGGAGGGGGTCTGACACCAGCATGTTCTTCTAGACTAGCCCCTCAAGGAAGGTTCCTTGATGCTGGTGAGGGGCACTTGATCCAAGGCCCCTCAAGGAAGGTTCCTTGATGCTGGTGAGGGGCTCTTGATCCAAGGCCCCTCAAGGAAGGTTCCTTGATGCTAGTGAGGGGCTCTTGATCCAAGGCCCCTCAAGGAAGGTTCCTTGATGCTGGTGAGGGGCTCTTGATCCAAGGCCCCTCAAGGAAGGTTCCTTGATGCTGGTGAGGGGCTCTTGATCCAAGGCCCCTCAAGGAAGGTTCCTTGATGCTGGTGAGGGGCTCTTGATCTTGGGAATTGAATCTGTGCTCCAGTTCCCTGAATGAATACCGTCCATCCCCCTCCACAGGTGCTGTATAATCCTACGGGTTTAGCGCTTCACCATTATTATAATAATAGTGTCTCCATTAATATTGCTTAAGGAATACTCATTGAATTCAGGGATCTTTAAGGTGGAGGCAGGGATACTAATACCATCTTTAAGGTGGAGGCAAGGATACTAATACCATCTTTAAGGTGGAGGCAGGGATACTAATACCATCTTTAAGGTGGAGGCAGGGATACTAATACCATCTTTAAGGTGGAGGCAAGGATACTAATACCATCTGAATACTTGCAGGAATAAGTCCTTCACTGCACGTGGTATCTTGAAGAGAGGGACCAGAGGTATCTAGGTTTGCTTAGGCAGAATCAGGGGATTTCTAGTAGCATATTCTCTACCTCCAAGTAAGTCAGTCCTTTGTGCATGTAGTTAGGAATTTCTTGCAAGGTTAATTTACATATGGAAATGTGTCCTAAAAGCCATTTGTGAGATTGAGATGACTAATTTCAGGGTGTCTGTGTCTACAGTCTTCAAGAAGGTACTGGACAGGCATCTAAAGTCAGTACCTGACCAGCTGGGCTGTGGTTTGTACGTCGGGTTGCATGCGGCCAGCAGTAACAGCCTGATTGATCAGACCCTGAGCCACCACGAGGCCTTGTCACAGACCGGGCCAGCGGGAGCGTTGACCCCTGAAACCCTCTCCAGGTAAACTCGAGGTATACATTACGCACTAGGGTGAATATCACACAAGGAGGCTCCATACACAATTTCCACAGATACAATGCCCCAAGATCTGGAATTCATTGCCTGAACCAGCAAAAGGTTCTCTGTCACTCAGTTTACAACTGTTATTAAAAGTCCCCATCTCTTAAATATAACTATACAGATCATAGAACCAGTTTGAAACTACTCCAGGAATCCCAGTTAACTTAACATCAATAAATCAATTTACAGTATCAATACACACTTAAAATTGTACTGTTGTAAATTGTGCTAATTGTAATAATTTTTTTGCTACTTCTCAACTATAAATTTTATTAATTAAAATTTTTTGAATACATTAAAATTCACCACTGCAAAACTTATGTTTAGTCTTAAGTAGTGTGCAAACATTATAATTAACCTGCCCAAAATGCTCATACATGCTGGTGGCTCTGTGTTTAACAATAGTTTATTACATGTAAACTACACACTGTATACTGTGCTAAGAAATAATAATTTTATTTTGAAAATCAGCTATTATTACCAAGATAGTGGACTGGTGTGGGTGGCATCCTGGGTGTTAGTGGACTGGTGTGGGTGGCATCCTGGGTGTTAATGGACTGGTGTGGGTGGCATCCTGGGTGTTAGTGGACTGGTGTGGGTGGCATCCTGGGGGACAATATAAACCTAATTTGCCAGAAATGCTTTGTATAACCAGGGACTTTATATAATATATCAGTGATGTCACATATGGTCTGTATAAGTTGTATCATGAACTTGTAGAAATAAAGATTATTATTACTTAACAAACATAGGGAAGAAGTAGCAGCAGGAACATGTAAGAATATTTCAGAATATTTGGTAATGTCTCCATGGGGAAGTGGAACAGAGTTCTTCGTCTGTAAGTCATGAATGTCATAAGAGGCAACTAAAATGCCAGGAGCAAGGAGCTGATAACTCCTCCTCCTCTATATAATACTAAATTTAAAAAGAGAAACTTAAGTTTTTCTTTTTGAGCCACCCAGCCTCAGTGGGATATGGCTGGTTTGTTGAAAGATGATGATGATTTGGTAATGTGGCTACTCATTATTTGACACATTTCATTATGATGGATAGTGAAGGTGCTAGTTACTATCTATGATGTTCTACTTAATATTCTCGTACAGTTTTAATTTCCATGTCATGCTTTGTATGGCTCTAAAGTTTAAGGTGAGTTTGCATTGCATACTTGAGGCAGATACAGCAGCTGAGAAGTGACCACCCCAACCTGCACTACCACACTGCTACATACAGTTATCATACATAGTGTAAATTACCCACCATAACCCCCCAAAAATTAGTGATTTATTTCCATTGTGGTCTTTGTTTTCCATTAGGATCCTTGATTCCCATTGGGTTCTTGATTTTCATTATACAGTGGACCCCTGGTTTTCATCCGGTGCAGAACTCGTACAATTCGGATTTCGAGCACTTTTGGCAAAATTTCCCCTGGGTTTTGTATGTCTGCTTGGAAATCGTCTGTTTCAGACGTGTCCGCCTGGGCCGCTCATGCGTTCATGACTCACTCTTGGGCACATTAAATGTCTTATTTTACATTAATATAGATATTTTCATTAATCCATCTATTATATTTTCTTCAAAATTATATAAGAAATACGTTACATAGCATATAAACATGCAGTGTTTATATGCTATCGAGGGGTGGTAGTCAGTAGAGGGGAAAACATTGTTTTCTCTGGTTCAGCATTAGAGAAAACCGTATGAATCTGCGTCTGGCCCAGTCACCACCCGTAATACATAACACTTTTGTTTACAATTCTCGGCATGAATTATTCATTACTTCTCCCTTTGTTTGTGATGACATTTTAAGGTACTAGTTGTCAGAAACGATTAAACTCAGTGAACATGGTATGTCGATGGTAATAATATGGCTTTGGGTCGCAGTGTAGGTGGCCAGTAGGTGCAGCCCAGGTTACACCTACCAGCTACCTACACTGACTTCCTTCAAATAAATACTACTCATCTCTCGCCCTACATTAAGACTACAAATACAGTGGACCCTCGACTTACGATATTAATTCGTTCCAGAAGGCTGTTCGGGCGCCGTTACCGAATGAATTTGCTCCCTTAAGGATTATTGTAAATTAGATTAGTCTGTATCAGACCCCCAAAAATACACTTACAAAAGCACTTGCAAAAATACACTTACATAATTGTTCGAGTTGGGAGCTAATCGTAAGTCGGGGGTCCACTGTATTTTAAGGTAAGTAATGAATGTACAGTGGACCCTCGACCAATGGTATTAATCCATTCCTGAGAGCTCATCGTTAATCGAAATTATCGTTAGTCAAGTTAATTTTCCCCATAAGAAATAATGGAAATCAAATTAATCCGTGCAAGACACCCAAAAGTATTGAAAAAAAAATTTTTTACCACATGAAATATTAATTTTAATACACACAAACTGAAGGAGACATGTACAATTACATGACACTTACCTTTATTGAAGATCTGGTGATGATTGATGGGATGGGAGGACGGGGGACTGTGGATGGTGTTAGTGTTTAGAAGGGGAATCCCCTTCCATTAGGACTTGAGGTGTCAAGTCCTTGTCCGGGGTTACTTCCCTTCTTCTTTTAATGCCACTAGGACCAGCTTGAGAGTCACTGGACCTCTGTCGCACAACATATCTGCCCGGTGGCCTGGTGGCTAAAGCTCCTGCTTCACACACGGAGGGCCAGGATTCGATTCCCGGCGGGTGGAAACATTTCGACACGTTTCCTTACACTATTGTCCTGTTCACCTAGCAGCAAATAGGTACCTGGGTGTTAGTCGACTGGTGTGGGTCGCATCCTGGGGGACAAGATTGAGGACCCCAATGGAAATAAGTTAGACAGTCCTCGATGACGCACTGACTTTCTTGGGTTATCCTGGGTGGCTAACCCTCCGGGGTTAAAAATCCGAACGAAATCTTATCTTATTTTATCATAGAGGCCTGTACCTCCGGTTCCTTTATGACATTCCTAAAGTGTTTCACAGCATTGTCAGTGTCACAGTTAAACACTTGTTCAGGTTTCAGTTCTTCACTGTCTATGTACCCCTTGAATTCCTGCACATATTTTTCAGCTGCTTTTTGGTCCAAACTGGCAGCCTCACCATGCCTTATCACACTATGTATGCCACTACGATTCTTAAATCTCTCAAACCAACCTTTGCTGGCCTTAAATTCACTCACATCACCACTAGTTGCAGGCATTTTTCTAATTAAATCCTCATGCAACTTCCTAGCCTTTTCACATATGATCGCTTGAGAGATGCCATCTCCTGCTATCTGTTTTTCGTTTATCCACACCAATAACAGTCTCTCAACATCATCTATCACTTGCGATCTCAGTTTCGAAAACATAGTTGCACCTTTGGCAAGAACAGCTTCCTTGATTGCCATTTTCTTGGCCACAATAGTAGCGATGGTTGATTGGGGTTTTGTGTACAACCTGGCCAGCTCGGAGACACACACTCCACTTTCATAGCAATGATCTCTTTCTTCATATCCATAGTAATTCTCACCCTTTTTGCTGTAGGGTTGGCACTAGAAGCTTTCTTGGGGCCCATGGTGACTTATTTTGCAGGTGCAATCACTAAAAACGCTGTGATAATATGAAATGTTCCGATTGTATGTTCGGATGGGACCGCGGTGGCTGGCTGGCTTGTAAACACTGGCCACAAGTGGACACGTCTCAGACGGAACGAATTGTGTTGGTCAAGTTTTTTAGCGCTAGTCGAGGCAAAATTTTTGCGTTAAAATGTATCGCTAGTCAGATTTAACATTAGACGATGCCATCATTGGTCGAGGGTCCACTGTACTGTGTATGTACAGTAGGGCCTCGCTTTACAGCATTCCACTAATACGGCGATTTCAAATTATAACCAAAACTTTCTATATGGTGATGGTCTTTTAAATACGGCTCGAGCCACCCTGTTTGTTTACATTCTCCGTGAGCACCTCTCTCTATTATGTAATAATAATCACTCTTGGGCACCTTCAATGTCCTGTTTTACATCAGTATAGACATTTTCATTAATCCATCTATGATATTTTCTTCAAAATTATGTATATAAAAAACATGTTACATATCATATAAACATGCTGTTTATATGCTATGGAGGTGTGGTTGTCAGGCGAGGAAAAACATTAGGAACACTAATAATAATCACTCTTGGGGACATTAGATGTCTTATTTTATGTTAACATAGACATTTTCATTAATCCATCTATGATATTTTCTTCAAAATTATATAAGAAACATATTACAGGCATGCAGGCATGCTTGAGCGTGTTTGATAGGAGTGAATGAGGGACAATGGTTTTTATACTTGATCGTGCGTTGGAGTGTGAGCAAAGTAACATTTTGAAGGGATTCAGGGAAACCGGCAGGCCGGACTTGAGTCCTGGAGATGGGAAGTACAGTGCCTGCACTCTGAAGGAGGGGTGTTAATGTTGCAGTTTAAAAACTGTAGTGTAAAGCACCCTTCTGGCAAGACAGTGATGGAGTGAATGATGGTGAAAGTTTTTCTTTTTCGGGCCACCCTGCCTTGGTGGGAATCGGCCGGTGTGATAATAAAAAAAAATAAAATAAAATTACATAGCATATAAACATACTGTTTATATGCTATGGAGGTGTGGTAGCTGGGCGGAGGGAAAACATTAAGTCACTCCCCTTAATACATAATGCTTTTGTTTACAATTCTCGGCATGAATTATTCTCCCTTTGTTTATGATGACACGTAAAGGTAGTTGATAGAAACGATTAAACTCAGTTGCAGTGTCAGACACTGCAACTTCTTGGGATCTTAATACTTGGGAATTGTTCGCTTGCCTAACCTTTGGGCATGACTTACTTCCACATTGGTCAAATGTGACACCACCTATGACTGCTGCACCTCTCCTGCCTAGGGTGTATAAACTACTTCTCTGCAGATATGCTGTATTCTTTTCAAGATTGATGGACTGACCACATCGACTCAATGCTGAGGGACTGATTACCTCAAACTCCTCCTGTTCTTCACCATTCTCCTTTGTATGGACTGATGAAGCCACCGTGTGGCAAAACGTTTCCTTAATAAAGATACCCAAGAGTTGCACATGTCTAATTTATCAACTGTAATCCTTGAAATATTGTGCCTAGTTTCCTACACAGTCTTGCTATATCAAGGTCTCTGGGTATTTAGAACAATAAATAAACTTGAACATTGCAGTCATTACAATGTTGAACTAACAATAAAATATTTACGTTTGATGTACCTTTGAGTTCCGAGTTTTTTTTTTTTTGTCTGGTGCTTGCCTGATGGACCAGGCTGTTGCTGGCTGGTGGATATATAATTCTTCTGACTTTCAAAAGCCATCTTCAGTTATGACTTCACCTGAAAATCCCTTTTACAACAGAAAACAATTTTTTGTTGGGTCCCTGGTCATGTTGACGTACAGGGCAATGAACAGGCAGACACTGCTGCGCGGTCAGCAGTACATGACCTACCAGTTTCATATAGAGGTATTCCATTTACGGACTATTTTGCTGCAATATCTTCCCACCTTCACACCCGTTGGCAACAAACTTCAATCTTTTAAACCGAGTATAGGTTACTGGCCGTCTTATCACCAGTGTCGAGGTTGGGAGACTACTCTCTCCCGTCTTCGCATTGGCCATACTCGTCTTACTCATGGATATCTCATGGAGAGGCGCCCTGCTCCTCTCTGTGAGAATTGCCAAGCTCCATTATCAGTCAGCCACATTCTGTTGAACTGCCCACTTTATCAACGAGCACGCAGAATTTACCTCCGTCGTCATCTTCGCTCCGCTGCTCTCTCTTTACCTTCCCTTCTCGCTGATGGACCCACCTTTCATCCGGACTCTCTCATTGACTTTTTGACAACAACTGACTTACTTCACAAATTCTGATACCTTCAGCCCTTTCTACTTCAATCTCTTGCTACCCTCTACCCCCATACTATCCCCTGCCCCGCTGTTTTCTGTAACCTACTGATCATCCCTCCTCCCTTCTGCCATCCAATACCCTCACTTCCTTCCCTACCCTGCAGCGCTGTATAGCCCTTGTGGCTTAGCGCTTCTTTTTGATTATAATAATAATAACAGAAAACAATTAATGTGGAGGAATCTACCCACTACATAAATATTAACCCAATAGAAGTAAGTCACTTTCACATTACAGTGGAACCCTGAGTTTTCGTACTGCCTCCAACTCCAACAATTATGTAAGTGTATTATGTATTATGTAAGTGCTTTTGTAAGTGTATTTTTGGGGGTCTGAAACGGACTAATCTAATTTACATTATTTCTTATGGGAACAAATTTGTTCAGTAACAGCACTAACAGCCTTCTGGAACGAACTATGTATGAAACTCGGGGTACCATTGTATTTTATTATTCAAGTCAATTTCTTCATATGTTAGTATGTAAGACAATTGCTATCAGCCCAAACTTATGTAATGTTAGTAATAATTGTAGAATTACTGACAAAATGTTAGGTAAATGGACACAGTTGTAACTAAAGTGACATTTTATTGTGGCAATGTTGACCTCTCCAGGAGTCAAGTGTTGCTACAATGTTGACCTCTCCAGGAGTCAAGTGTTGCTACAATGTTGACCTCTCCAGGAGTCAAGTGTTGCTACAATGTTGACCTCTCCAGGAGTCAAGTGTTGCTACAATGTTGACCTCTCCAGGAGTCAAGTGTTGCTACAATGTTGACCTCTCCAGGAGCCAAGTGTTGCTACAATGTTGACCTCTCCAGGAGCCAAGTGTTGCTACAATGTTGACCTCTCCAGGAGTCAAGTGTTGCTACAATGTTGACCTCTCCAGGAGCCAAGTGTTGCTACAATGTTGACCTCTCCAGGAGTCAAGTGTTGCTACAATGTTGACCTCTCCAGGAGCCAAGTGTTGCTACAATGTTGACCTCTCCAGGAGCCAAGTGTTGCTACAATGTTGACCTCTCCAGGAGCCAAGTGTTGCTACAATGTTGACCTCTCCAGGAGTCAAGTGTTGCTACAATGTTGACCTCTCCAGGAGCCAAGTGTTGCTACAATGTTGACCTCTCCAGGAGTCAAGTGTTGCTACAATGTTGACCTCTCCAGGAGCCAAGTGTTGCTACAATGTTGACCTCTCCAGGAGTCAAGTGTTGCTACAATGTTGACCTCTCCAGGAGCCAAGTGTTGCTACAATGTTGACCTCTCCAGGAGTCAAGTGTTGCTACAATGTTGACCTCTCCAGGAGCCAAGTGTTGCTACAATGTTGACCTCTCCAGGAGTCAAGTGTTGCTACAATGTTGACCTCTCCAGGAGCCAAGTGTTGCTACAATGTTAACCTCTCCAGGAGCCAAGTGTTGCTACAATGCTGACCTCTCCAGGAGTCAAGTGTTGCTACAATGTTGACCTCTCCAGGAGCCAAGTGTTGCTACAATATAATGTCACATTAGTTACAACTGTGTCCATTTACCTAACATTGTGTAATGTCTAAAGAAATATTTTGAACCCACGTACTAATGGCAGTTCCCTAAATACCATCAATAACATTACTTGGCAGTGTCAAGAGGAACACTGTTGATTACCACCAGCAACTGCAGTGACAACAAACATCAACTTACTAGTCACTGTACATCACTACTGATGAAGTCACTGACAGGAGAAAGAAAACCTGCTAACTTGATGACTGAACATATCTTGAAGAACAACAACAACAACACAAGACAAGTAAGAATTTATTGAACTTTGTCCGTATAACACAGAATAATGAACACAGTTGACTGTGCCATAATATGGTCATATGATAAATATAAAATGTTGATATAGAAAAAGATAGTTAAGTCACTGTAACTGGCATTGCTGGTTACATAAAAATATTCCACAACGTAAATGCATACAGCAGTAAGTCAGTTAAGTCAGTGTGATGTACTTACACTGTGTGTTGGTATTATTTAAGTCAGTTAAGTCAGTGTGATGTACTTACACTGTGTGTTGGTATTATTTAAGTCAGTTAAGTCAGTGTGATGTACTTACACTGTGTGTTGGTATTATTTAAGTCAGTTAAGTCAGTGTGATGTACTTACACTGTGTGATGGTATTATTAAGTCAGTTAAAGTCAGTGTGATGTACTTACACTGTGTGTTGGTATTATTTAGGTCAGTTAAGTCAGTGTGATGTACTTACACTGTGTGTTGGTATTATTTAGGTATTTTGTATACTCATGTAATAATAACATAATATGGTAAGGTTAAAGAATGTGACATTTTGGTGTTGGGTGTATTAGGATTCTTAACTGAAGTTATTATGTGTGAATATAAAAGAATATTGTGTATCCACCGTGGCCCAGTCTGTGACCAGGCCTCGTGGTGGATCAGAGCCTGACCAACCAGGCTGTTACTGCTGGTCGCACATAAATTGACGTACTAACCATAGCCCGGTTGGTCAGGTACTGACTTTAGGTGCAGCACCTTCTTGAAGACAGTCAGGGCTCTGTTTGTAATCCCACTTGTGTGTTTACAAGCCTCAAATTTTTTATTTTAAATCCTAAGATCAAATTAGTCAGTCTAAATGCTTGATTTATGAATGAGAATTTATTGGTATTTGAAAGTTTTTTAGTGACACACTTTATAGTGTTCAGCTTATGTTGAATACTATAAAGTGGATCAGCATAAACCCATATTTGAATTAAAATGACATTTATCATCTGTCAAAGACCCAAAGAATGTAGCACTGGAGGAAGGAGAGTCAGGGGCCCCTACAGGAGTATAGGAGGAGCATCATGGTGGCAAGCTGGTAACATGAGCATGATGTGTTGTTGGAGTGTGAGCAAGGCAATATTTACAAAGCGATTCAGGGAAAGCAGTTATCTGAACTTGAATCCTGGAAGTGTGAAGCACAGTGCCTGCACTCTGAAGGATGAACAGGGATATTGTAGTTCTGGAGGAGTGAAGTACAGTGCCTGCACTCTGAAGGATGAACAGGGATATTATAGTTCTGGAGGAGTGAAGTACAGTGCCTGCACTCTGAAGGATATATGGGGATAATACAATTTAGAGGGTCATTTGAGGCATACTGTTAGCATGCTTCTTGCATGCTAACATTGAGTGATGTTGAAAATGTTTAGCTTCATGGTCATCCCATCTCAGTGGGAGATGGGTTGTGTTAAAAAAAAAAGGTGTTGTGAGGTTTATTGGAAATTTTGGTTTGCTTGAGCCTGGCCTGTCAGGCACCCCAGGGTTAAGCTCATGTTATGAGTTGTCACATTATATAAGAACATAATAAAGAAGGAACACTGCAACAGGCCTACTGGCCTGTAAGGCAGGTCCAATTTCCCCACTGGCTTAAGCCAATGCTTTGATCTGTGAGGTTAAATGTCATTTAAAGGGGAGGAGACGGCATCCGACCTTATAGCACAACTAGTCGGTTTACCTCACCCCCATCGTGTTTTTATCCAACCTTTTTTAAAATATACATCATCTTAGTTTTTTTTTAATGGTATCAGGAGTTTTTTTCCACTCACCACAACTCTGTTCCGAACCAGGTTTCCTATTTTTTCCTGAATCTAATTTTTCCAAATTTAAAACCATTGCTGCGGTCCTGTCTATTTTTAGAATATTTAGCACCATTTACACCCCCTTTTATTAATTTTCTTTTTTTCCACTTTTACCCTGAATCATTCCCCCCCCCTCAATTCTGCACCTTTTCTGAGATGCAGATTCGGGGCCCTCATCTTCCTCAGGGGGAAATTTTGATACATGGGATCAACTTTGTCATCCTCCTCTGTACTTTTTTCCATGCATTTATATCCTTTCTGTAAACGGTGCCCAAAAATGGCAGCATAATCTAAATGAACCCAAAACCCAAAATATATAAAATTGAAGAACAACCTGATGACTTTATTATTATACTTTTGCATAAAGAAAGGGGTTTTTTGTTGCTTTTTGAAAACCATTTATGCCTTTTTGTCTTGGTTTCAGATTACGCAAACCCCAAAACCCTAAACCTTTTTTGCAATCTGTAATATTAAGATCTACATTATTTAGTTTAAATGTGGATTTTATTGTCCGTCCAAAAATTTAGAACTTTGCATTTTCTTATTAAACTGCATCTCCCCTTTCCCCCCACGCTCGTCTTTTAAGTCTCTGGAGGCTCTATTTCCTCATTAGATAAATTGGATGGCCTATTTTTGTCAGAAAATTTCTTGTGTACTATTTTTCCCTTGTCTGTTCTTTAGTAGACTGTGAAAAAAGGGGCCCAACACTGACTCCTGTGGAACACCCGGTTTTTGATGTCCACCCTTCTGATTTCCCCATTAATGAAACTCTCTGATGCCATTTGTCAACCATGCCTCTACCCAGGAAAAAATTTCTCCTATTCCGTGTGCCTTAAGTTTTCTCAACAGCCTCTGATGTGGAACTCTATTGAAAGCCTTACTAAAGTCCATATACACAATATCATATTCAGTACCACGATCTACCTCCTCAAATACCTTAGTGAAGAAAGTTAGTAAATTCGTTAGACAGGAACGCCCCTTTGTAAAACCGTTCTGAGATTCATTAATCAATTTATGCATTTCAAGATGGCTATGAATTGCTTTGGCAATTATTGATTCCATAAATTTGCCAACTATGGAGGTAAGGCTTATTGGTCTATAGTTCGAAGCTAAGGACCTGTCACCTGCCTTGTAAATAGGTGTTACATTTGCCATTTAACACCTGTCTGGCACTATGCAGTTTGTAGTGATATATTGAAAAGATTAGCCAAAGGTATGCTAAGTTCCTATTTACATGCATTTAAAACCATTGCAAACAGCTCATCAGGACCTGGGGATTTGTTAGGCTTTAATTTCTCTATTTGTCTGAGGACCATGTCACTGGTTACACTAATCATACATAGTTTATTATCGTCCTTTTCTACATAATTTATTATTTCTTAAATTTTGCTAGTATCTTCCTGAATAAAAACTGAGAGGAAGTAGGTATTGAAAAGTTTACACGTTTTCTTATCACTGTCAGTGATCTGACCTGAGTTACTCTTAAGTGGGCCTATCTTGTCCCTAATCTTACTTCTGTATACCTGAAAGAACCCTTTTGGGTTAGTCTTCGAATCCCTTGCAACTTGAACCTCATAATCCCATTTTGCTTTTCTTATTCCTTTTTTTTATTTCTCTAACTGAATATATTGATTCTTAATTGCCCTCCCCCTCTTTTGATATGCCTATATATGCCTCTCTTTTGACCAATGAGATGTTTTAATCTATTGTTTATCCATTTGGGATCATTGTTTTTTTTTTTTTGTTTTTTTTTTTTTCAACAAGTCGGCCGTCTCCCACCGAGGCAGGGTGACCCAAAAAAAGAAAGAAAATCCCTGAAAAGAAAACACTTTCATCATCATTCAACACTTTCACCACACTCACACATTATCACTGCTTTTGCAGAGGTGCTCAGAATACAACAGTTTAGAAGCATATACGTATAAAGATACACAACATATCCCTCCAAACTGCCAATATCCCAAACCCCTCCTTTAAAGTGCAGGCATTGTACTTCCCATTTCCAGGACTCAAGTCCGACTATATGAAAATAACCGGTTTCCCTGAATCCCTTCACTAAATATTACCCTGCTCACACTCCAACAGATCGTCAGGATCATTGTTGTTAGATCTAATTTCCCTACTTGGGACAAAAGTTGTCTGCGCAGCCAGCACTATGCTCTGAAATATGTCATATTGGCAACCAACTCTACCTACCTGACACATAGTAAGGGCATCCCAATTTAGCCCACCCAGGTAATTTTTCATACCCATGAAGTTGACCAAACAGAAATCTGGGACAGCGACTTGATTGGAGTTATCTGGATAGTATTGGGGTAGAGCCCTACCCCAATATTTGTGTTATACAGTACTGTAGAAACATAGGGATTGAGTTGGATATGGGAATCTATAAAATTACCTAAAATCAATAATAACTTAAAAGTTGCTGTGCAAACAATTACCCATTCCAGTGGCAGACAACACACCCCAGAACTTGAACTTATTTATTAACACAACGGCCAATTCCCACCAAGGCAGGGTGGCCCGAAAAAGAAAAACTTTCATCATTCACTCCATCACTGTCTTGCCAGAGGGGTGCTTTACACTAGTTTATAAAACTGCAACATTAACACCCCTCCTTCAGAGTGCAGACACTGTACTTCCCATCTCCAGGACTCAAGTCCAGCCTGCCGGTTTCCCTGAACCCCTTCATAAATGTTACTTTGCTTACACTCCAACAGCACGTCAAGTATTGAAAATCATTTGTCTCCATTCACTCCTATCAAATACGTTCAGGCATGCTTGCTGGAAGTCCAAGCCCCTCGCACACAAAACCTCCTTTACCCCCCTCCCTCCAACCCTTCCTAGGCTGACCCCTACCCTGCCTTCCCTCCACTACAGATTGATACACTCTCAAAGTCATTCTGTTTCATTCCATTCTCTCTACATGTCCAAACCACCTCAACAACCTTTCCTCAGCCCTCTGGACAACAGTTTTGGTAATCCCAAACCTCCTCCTAACTTCCAAACTACGAATTCTCTGCATTATATTCACACCACACATTGCCCTCAGACATGACATCTCCACTGCCTCCAGCCTTCTCCTCGCTGCAACATTCATCACCCATGCTTCACACCCATATAAGAGTGTTGGTAAAACTACACTCTCACACATTCCCCTCTTTGCCTCCAAGGACAAAGTTCTTTGTCTCCACAGACTCCTAAGTGCACCACTTACCCTTTTCCCCTCATCAGTTCTATGATTCACCTCATCTTTCATAGACCCATCCGCTGACACGTCCACTCCCAAATATCTGAATACATTCACCTCCTCCATACTCTCTCCCTCCAATCTGATATCCAATCTTTCATCACCTAATCTTTTTGTTATCCTCATAACCTTACTCTTTCCTATATTCACTTTTAATTTTCTTTTACATACCCTACCAAATTCATCCACCAACCTCTGCAACTTGTCTTCAGAATCTGCCAAGAGCACAGTGTCATCAGCAAAAAGCAACAGAGACAACTCCCACTGTTTACCTGGAGTTTACCTGGAGAGAGTTCCGGGGGTCAACGCCCCCGCAGCCCGGTCTGTGACCAGGCCTCCTGGTGGATCAGAGCCTGATCAACCAGGCTGTTGCTGCTGGCTGCATGCAAACCAACGTGTTTGATTCTTTATCTTTTAACTCCACGCCTCTTGCCAAGACCCTCGCATTTACTTCTCTTACAACCCCATCTATAAATATATTGAACAACCACGGTGACATCACACATATGATCTAAGGCCTACTTTTACTGGGAAATAATTTCCCTCTCTCCTACATACTCTAACTTGAGCCTCACTATCCTCGTAAAAACTCCTCACTGCTTTCAGTAACTTGTTTAATAAACAAAATATGCACTCATACTACTGTGTCTACAGTATATATGACATTCATTTTCAATATAAGCCTTTCTATGGATCTTTTCCTTTTAACAGGTGCAACAAGGCACAAAAAGGCTGACATCCCCCCCTCATCCCCCCCATGTCCAACTCAGCCTGTGTGAAAATTCAATGCTTGTAAAAGGCCTTAAGATCTGGAACTCTGTCTGAAGCATTGAAAGGCTCCCTGTCTGCCAACTATTTCAAAGCTGTTGTTAAAAAACACCATCTTAGCATAATTGAGACAGCAATCTGTTATGTCTAACAAAACCAGTTTTCATCCAGTTCTGTCTCTGATCTTCCTTCAACACTCATACATAATTGGTAACATATATTGTCCCATTTAATTATACTGTAACCTAAAGTACCTTACTGTATCTTCAACATTTCTATATTGTCAGATAAAACTGAGGATCTTTGAATTAGTGCTGTGAAATATGTCTCGTTTGTGATAGACTATTTGCCATTAACTGTCTTATTGTAGTTAATTGCATAAGAATTCTTATTTAATATTATGTATATTAATTAACATGGCTTACAATTAGCTGGTCAAAATGCATTGCATAATTTGTGGCCATCTTTTGTACCTACCATTATGTTAATTCATGTAAATTACATTATATGGTTTAAATAAAAAAAGTATTAGTGTCAAAAATACTAAATATGGTTTGTTGTGTTGCCAGACTAATAGTGGATATTGTTTGTTGGTGTATCAGCATGTGAGGACCAAGACTGTTTCAACCAAAAATACTGCTGGAACAAGTGTAGAAGTCTTTAAGAGGAAATTGGACAAGTATCTTCACCAGGTGCTGGATCAACCAGGCTGTGATGGAGTGGGTCAGTGGACCACCAGCAGTAACATCCTGGCAGAGCAGGCAAGCATCAGATGAGCCTGACCCCTGGCTGGGCTCTGGCAGTAGAAAAACACTCAGAACTCATCAGAGGTTAATGTTAGTTTGTCAATAGTGTGTGAGGAGTTAATAATAATAATAATAATAATAATAATAATAATAATAATAATAATAATATATTTTATTTTGAAGGAAGGAGCAAATCTTGTTCAACAAGACAGTCATGTAAGAAGCCAAGTTGATACATGTATGTACAAACACCTTTATATGCAGAGCATTTCTGGCAAACTTAAAATTAACTTAAGATTAATAAGGCAATAACAGTACATATGGTCATTAGATGAGTTACAATGAATACAAGAAACTTGAGTATTGTATTAAGTCATGCTATATGACTTCAATAAGTCTTGTAGAGAAGAAATACTTTTTTATTATTAACCTTAGGCAGTAGTAAAGTTGGTAGAATTACCGACAATATGTAAAGTAAAAGGACACAAGTGCAACTAATGTGACATTTTATTGTGGCAACGTTTCACTCTCCAGGAGCTTTATCAAGCCATTACAAACAATACACGGACACAGAGGGTATATAAAGGCTCAGAGTGAGGTGCAATACTAGTGAGGTACCATTTCGAAGATCACTAGTGGTAGTAGTAGTAGTAGTAGTAGTAGTAGTGACAAAAGTAATGCAATATGTTAGAGCAATTAATTCGTACATGAGTAAAAGGATATAAAAGCTATTACTTGGGTAACATAAAAATAGGTTGGACAAATATTGACTGGAAAGAGGCAGCTTGTTTCAGTGTTCACTCTCTGTAATGTGCTTTGTGTAGTATAACAGGAGAGACTATGTGATGGCAGGGTTTACTGTTTTCAGGAGGATTCTTGCTAAGACTTCGGAAATGGTGAAGCTGCCGTTGTTTTGTTTAATTGTATTCGAAACAGCGATCGGTGCTGATTTGAGGCACTTGCGTCTGCGGAAATTAGTTTCTTTGATCACTAATTGGGCGTCTCTGAATTTCATGAGATGATTGGTGGAATTTCGGTGTTGTACACAGGCGTTGTTCAAGTTATCGTTCCTACATGCGTAAATGTGTTCATTGAGGCGGGTGTCGAGGTTTCTTGCTGTTTCACCTACGTAAATCTTGTCACAGCCTCCACAGGGTATAGTGTAAACTCCTGCATTGACTGGTTTGTGGCGCTTGGATTTTGTCCTGAGTTACATTTTCCTTCTTTTTTCATCAAAGACTGCAAGAAAAGAGCTCTTCAGATCATTAATTCTCCACGCATCAACACCACTCCCAACAAAGTTATAATTCTTCCCAACAGCCAGGTTGCACTGAACGTCTCTAAAGTACTTTCACAAGCTAACACCAGAGTCGCCATCGCTTCGAGCACTTCAATAAAGGATCTAACCAGGACAAAATCCAAGCACCACGAACCAGTCAATGCACCACCACCACCACCACTAGTGATCTTTGAAATGGTACCTCACTAGTATTGCACCTCACTCTGAGCCTTTATATACCCTCTGTGTCCATGTATTGTTTGTAATGGCTTGATAAAGCTCCTGGAGAGCGAAACGTTGCCACAATAAAATGTCACATTAGTTGCACTTGTGTCCTTTAACCTTAGGCAGATACAGTGGAGTGATTAATATTTAACATAAGAACATAAGAAAGGAGGAACACTGCAGCAGGCCTGTTGGCCCATACTAGGCAGGTCCTTTACAATCCTTCCCACTAGCAAAACACTTGCCCAACCCAGTTTTCAATGCCACCCAAGAAATAAGCTCTGATAACCCTATCCAGTCTCATATGCAAGTCACACTCAAATCCAACCCCTCTCACTCAAGTATTTATCCAACCTAAATTTGAAACTACCCAAGGTTTCAGCTTCAGTAACCCAACTAGGTAGACTGTTCCACTCATCAACTACCTTATTCCCAAACCAATACTTTCCTATATCCTTTCTAAATCTAAACTTGTCTAATTTGAATCCATTACTGCGGGTTCTCTCTTGGAGAGACATCCTCAAGACCTTATTTATATCCCCTATGACATTCATTTGAGATGAATACAGATATTGAGAGCAAGTATATACTGATTATATTGATGAAAAAGTTTTACTGATGTTCATGATGTTGAACAAATGCATGTACAGGTTTTACATACAGGAGGGCCCCGCTTTACGGCGTTCCGCTTTACGGCGTTCCGCTAATACGGACATTTCAAATTATGACCAAAACTCACTATACGGCTCCCCCCACCTGACTTTCTAATACGGTCACCGTGCCCCACCCTGTTTGTTTACATTCTCCATGAGCTCAGTAAGCACTAAGTCTCTCCATTTTGTCTGGAAACTCCAAAATTTCAAATGTTTTTAAAAGTTATTTCATATTTTATATAACTCTGATAATTATACTTATGTATACCTGTACCTAAATAAACTTACATACATCAAGTCATTTAAATGTCGTATATTACGTTAATATACACATTTTCATTAATCCATCCATGATATTTTTTTCAAAATTATATAATAAACACGATGCATAACATATAAATAAGATAAATACACCCCACAGTAGAATAAATAAACATAAATGTGAGCTGTGTAGCAGACGACTTCCACAAGTGGTGATAATAACAATACTGAGTCTCATTAAATGTCGTATATTACGGTAATATACACATTTTCATTAATCCAGCCATGATATTTTTTTCAAAATTATATAATAAACACTATACATAACATATAAATAAGATAAATACACCCCACAGTAGAATAAATAAACATAAATGTGATCTCTGGTAGCAGACGACTTCCACAAGTGACGCCATAATAACAATAGTCACGGAGTCTCATTAAATGTCGTATATTACGGTAATATACACATTTTCATTAATCCAGCCATGATATTTTTTTCAAAATTATATAATAAACACGATACATAACATAAAAAGATGATAAATACACCCCACAATAGAATAAATAAACATAAATATAAGATGTGGGAGCCTGGTTTGTTTACTCTGTGCCTGGCCTGTCACCTCTCATGTACTCATTCTTTCTCTCTCTCATTTATTCGTTTTATCTCATTTACTTACTCCTGACCCTACATTAAGACTACAAATATTTTAAGGTAAGTAATGAGTGAACTGTATATACATTTTATCGCTCTGGGATGCTTAAATATCATAGAATAGTATGTGTGGGTGGGGTGGCCTGGTGAAATTTGCCTGCCTATTACAATAATACCCCACTTATTTCTTAAAATAAATACACTTGTCTCACCCTAGATTAAGCAAAAATTTTTTTTAAAGTAAGTAATTGGGCACTTGTGTGTTTGTACCTTTTTTATTGTTTTTTTGATCCCTGTTCTATTGCTAACTTAATAAAGTTAGTGTAAATTTTTACTGGTTTTTTTGTATGCTTTTTAAAAGTGGAAAAAAAGGGTGTTCCACTTACGGCGATTTCCGCTTTACGGCGCTGCCTGGAACATAACCCGCCGAATAAGGGGGCCTCCTGTAGTATTTTGAGGGACTGGGATAGGTTTAAAGGGAGATAATTAAAGGGAATGGGTGTTTTTAACTTTTTGTTTAAAAATGGAACCCGTGGTTTGGAGATTTCGGGAAAAGGATTTCCGTTTTTTGGGCCCTTTTTATGTATGATGAATTTTTTAAAAGATTTAGCCTTACACGGAATGCAAAAATTTTTGGCCCTAGTTTGTGTCTGGTCCTGTTGCAACTGTTCAACTGTTGCAACTGTTGAACGTTGCAACTTTGAACGTTGCAACTGCCAAAAAGTGTTTCGATCGGGATTTATATTGAATTATTTTTCTGTAAATGTAGGTTGTACAAATAGTACAGTTATTTTGTTAAAGCCAGTAAGTAAGGTCTTTGAAAGTGAGGGGGGGGGGGGTTTGTTAGCGTGAGGGGGGGGGGGTTGTCTAGCGTGAGGGGGGGGGGTTTTAGCGTGAGGGGGGGAGGGTTGTCAGCATGGGGGGAGGGGGGGTTGTCTACCCGTGAGGGGAGGGAGGGTTGCTAGCAGTGAGGGGAGGGAGGGTTTCTGCATGGGGGGAGGGAGGGTTTGTCTAGCAGGGGGGGGGGGAGGGTGTCTAGCTGAGGGGGGGGGGTTGTCAGCATGAGGGGGGGGAGGGTTTGTCTAGCATGAGGGGGGGGAGGGTTGTCTAGCATGAGGGGGGGAGGGTTGTCTAGCAGTGAGGGGGGGGGGGTTGTCTAGCATGAGGGGGGGGGGTTGCAAGCGTGAGGGAGGGAGGGTTGTCTAGCAGTGGGGGGGGGGAGGTTGTCTAGCATGAGGGGGGGGGGGTTGTCTAGCAGTGGGGGGGGGAGGTTGTCTGATAGGGGAGGGAGGGTTGTTACTGAGGGGAGGGAGGGTTGTTACAGTGAGGGGAGGGGGGGGTTGTTAGCAGTGGGGGGGGGGAGGGTTTCTAGAGTGAGGGGGGGGGGTTTGTCTGCAGTGGGGGGGGGGAGGGTTTCTAGCAGTGGGGGGGGGAGGGTTGTCTAGCGTGAGGGGGGGGAGGGTTGTCTAGCAGTGGGGGGGGGGGGTTTCTAGCAGTGAGGGGGGGGGGGGTTTGTCTAGCAGTGGGGGGGGGGAGGGTTGTCTAGCAGTGAGGGGGGGGGGGGTTTGTCTGCGGAGGGGGGGGAGGTGGTCACATGGGGGGGGGAGGGTTGTCTAGCAGTGGGGGGGGGAGGGTTGTCTAGCATGAGGGGGGGGAGGGTTGTTAGAGTGAGGGGGGGGGAGGGTGTTAGCAGGGGATTTTTATACTTAACACTGTGGCTTTTTGTTGTGTATTATTATTTTAGGTGGTTTCGTTGTTGTGGAAACCCCCGGGCACAAATACGGGTAACATAAATAGTAATTAATAGGGTGTTTGGGGTACATGTAACATTAGTGAAATTTTAGTGGTTTTTGGTGGACATGTAACAATAGGTAAGTAGGGGTTTTTTGGGGACATGAACAAGTGTAAGTAGTGGTGTTTTGGGGAAATAAACATAGTGTAAGTGTGGTGTTTGTGGTACAATAAAATAGTGAAGTATGGTGTTTGTGGTCAAGAAAAATAGTGAAAGTGGGGGTTTTGTGGTACATAAAACTATGGTAATATGGTGTTTTGTGGTACATGTAACTAGTGTAAGTAGTGGTTTTGTGGTACAAGTAAAAAGTGTAAGGTGGTGTTTGTGGTCTAGTAACATATCTTTGAGGGGAGACAATTGTTTTAAAAAACCTTTTTTTTTATGTGTTGGATATGGTTTTTGGTTTTTAGGTTACTGTCAAGGTGCCCACCCGGGAATTTTCCCCTCATTTTTTTAGCAGAAAGGATGTTGTTAAGCATATTTTTTGGGTCGCCCCTTTTGCTCTACCCCCAAACATAATGTAAAAGGTTTCGTCTTATTTATTTGATTTTTTTGAGGGCAACCGGGGTTGTTGTTTTTGCGAGTTCTTATTACAGTAGTGTTGAATGAGCTAAATTTGGGTGAGAATGACAAAAGTTGTTTTGTCAGCAAAATAATAAGCATAATTTTGGTATACCCTGAAGACTTTGATGTAAAAAAGGAAAAGGAGGGGGCCAAAAAATACTACCCTGGGGTCCCCCAGTGTCCATTTGAGGGGTTTGTCCCATTGACAACATATTGCTTTCTTTTGTGAGGTGAACTTTTTTTAAATGCAAGCACTGGCCTCTTATACTGTAATGATCAAGTTTGAGGGTAGGATGGTGGGTCTACTGTTAAAACTTTTTTAAGATTGAAAAAAGGTCCAAGTGGGTATTCATTTTTACCAGTGCTGTTAAAGTAGGTTTTGCATTTTTATTATTGACTTTTGTGCTTTTTTTTCTCCTAACCCAAACTGGCAGGGGTTGAGGATGTTTTTGTGATGTTATAAAAGGGAATGAAACCT